GAGTGGGCCGAGCGACGCCCGCAATAAAAGCATTTGAATCGCTTAGCGAACAATGAAGCCATCTCAAGCCGTGTAGGTGGACATTGATGGCGGTGACGATAAGAAATGGGATGGATGATGGGGGGAAATCAGAGGAAGGAGTTAAGACAACAACACCAAAATAATCGCCGAGACTAGCACGGACCACGTGCCTGGATAGTTATCCAGCTTCCAGATAGATCCCCAAGCATCTAACGCCCCCCGCAACAATTACTCCTCATTCACTTGTCGCTCCCCAGCTATTGTTGTAACTAGCTATGGGGTTGGTTTGACAAGGTTTGAAGAAGAAGTCTCCGCCTTTTAATGCGCTGTCACTATATACATAGAGTTCATTCGTTCCGCCGGCCGCATGCGACAACTGCGACAACTCTGGAACCTGCCACATCCTCAATAACACATCGTCAATTCATCTCAAACAATACATACAACCACCACTCAATCCCATGGAGTCATGGCTATCCTGGACTAGCCTCTTTCTGGCTATCGGCTTTACTGCCATAGCCTGCATATTTACGCTCATTGTAAGCAATTTCCTGCACATCATCTCCCCTATACAATTGAAGCTAATCCGCCCACTCAATAACTTTCAGCTCTTCATCCACGCTCTCGCCAAATCACAAAACAGCCAAGTCCCCAAATGGCGCCCGCAAAACTCCCCCGTCCATCTCCTAGTCGTCCTCGGTAGCGGTGGCCACACAGCCGAGATGTTCTCTATGCTCCGGCGCATGAACCTCGATCCGTCCAAATACACCCATCGAACCTACATCGTAAGCTCTGGGGACAACTTCAGCGCAACAAAAGCCGTCGAATTCGAAACAACCCATATAACCCATCATGTCAATTTCAATACCAAAATCGCATCATCAGACCCCTCCTACACCATCGTCACGGTACCCCGCGCCCGTCGCGTACACCAATCCTACCTGAGTGCGCCTTTCTCTACACTGAACTCCTTCTGGTCCTGTCTCTCGGTCCTACGGGGTCTCCATCCGGACCAGAGCCGGCATTCTCGCCCAGCGTCGCATCTATCCTCTCCATACCCGGACCTCATTCTCACCAATGGCCCTGCCACCGCGGTCTGCGTCATCGTTGCCGCCCGGCTGCTTCGTCTATGGCTGTTCTTGTGCGGGTTCTTTTCTTCTTCTGCGCCCGGTCAAAGAGCATCAGAAAGTGGCTCTGCAACCGTGCCAGTGCCGGGTACCTACCAGCTGCGCACAATCTTCGTAGAATCGTGGGCTCGCGTGACTACATTGAGCCTGTCGGGGAAGCTTCTGTTACCTCTGGCAGATCGATTTCTGGTCCAGTGGCCCGCATTAGCAGGGAAGAAGGCGTGGCCGGGAATGAAAGAGACAGAATACGTTGGTACACTTATGGATTGAGTGTCCGGTGTTGTATCTCCGGTTCTACAAGTCTTCAAAACTTTAATTGCTTTCCGCTGTCTTGCGATTTGATCTTAGCCTGTTGTATCTATAGACATATCATACATGATACCCCTTGAACATTTGTATCATACCGTCGGGTCAATCACCATGTTTCTTAGCAACTACAAGCTGTCGGGCCCTACGGGCGATCAGTCGGCGGCGGGACCACATCGAGGGGCCGAACCGAGGTATACATGGAGACAGTAAGGTTGGACTCCCCTCTTTTTCTTCTGCATTGTACCTGGCAGGGGTGATCCGGAAACCGATTGTTCTTGGACAATGATAATACCACAATTAGACTCACTAAGATTGAAATCCCAGCAGCAATCTTGGGCCTTATAGTAGAATAAGCGCAGCTATCTAGTGCAGGTGCACCACCCCTCCAACTCTGCAAATAGACAAAAAGACCGTAAGTCACGTACTAGTCGGACGGAGGGTTCCGCAGGCATTAGTTAACTAGATGAGCGCCGCCGACATAAGCTCCGATTGACCCCGCTTCGTCAAGTACTTATCTACTACTTCGGTGTCCTCAGTTCAGCTCAGCTCTGCTAGATCTGCTTCGATCGATTCAATCAACTATCTAGCTATATAATCATGTATTCTCTGCGCAATCGCGTTGCTCTCATTACGGGCGGCTCACGGTATGTTCACCCGCTCCGCTGTGTTTACCTTATTGGGGCATTTATTGACGATATGTGACGTTTAGAGGGCTGGGTGCTCTTGTGGCCCAGAAATACGCCGCCGAGGGTTGCAATGTCGCCATCAATTACGCTTCGAGCAAAGACGCTGCTGAGAAATTGGCCGAAGAACTGCGAGAGAGTTACAAGGTCAAGGCTATTACTATACAAGGTGTAGGTTGTGTCGAGTGTGATTGACGAAGTGCTGGACTGATATCGTGGCTGTATTATCATTTAGGATGCCGGTGTTCAGAATGACTGCGTTAACGCTGTCAAAACCACCATTGATCAGTTGGGGGGCCTGGATATCATTGTTTCGAACGCAGTGAGTTGCTACTCTCCCGGTCCATGTCAGCAATTGGGGAAGGTTGACTGAACGCATGGCCAGGGTTGGACCAAAATGACCAAGTTCAATGACTTGGACGCTATGAATGACGAGGAATGGGATAGAGTAGGTGTCACAATGGGGTGAACCCCGCAGAGGGTCGCCGCGGTTTGCAAGGCTAACGAATTCCTCAGTGCTGGTCAATGAACATAAAGGGTCATTTCTATCTTTTCAAAGCAGCACTGCCCACATTCAACGCAAACCCCGAGGGTGGTGTGTTCCTCCTGACCTCATCTATTGCGGTAGGTCCTCTACGAAGATCGAATGGTAAGATGCGCAAGTGTTGACCAGCAAGATAGGCCGTTTCGCCAACTGGAAGCAGCTTGCCATATGCGATCACCAAAGCAGGAGGTAAGCATACCGCAATGGACGCTTTGCATCCCCATTAACATCAGCAACAGGTCTGCACATGGTGAAATGCCTTGCACACACTCAAGGTAGTAAGGTGCGCGTGAATGCGGTTCTTCCTGGCCTTCTCTTGACTGAATGGGTAAGTAGCCTCATTGCAGTTGCAGTGCAGCTCGATCACGGTAGAGCTAATGTGAACGAACCATAGGGCCAGCGCTTCCCTGCCCAAGCAATTGAGGGGTGGACGGCAAAGACAGCCCTTAAGAAAGTGGTAAGGCTCTTGACCAATCCATGCACGATTTCCGCCTATTAACGACTCGTGAACAGCCTGAGCTTGAAGACGCTGCTCAAGCATATGTCATGCTTGCGCAGAATTCATCTATGACCGGGCAAGAGATACAGATCGGTAGGTGCTCTTGCTTTTGTTGTCTACAACAAAACTAACTTTTCAGATTCCGGATTCTCCTTCAAATAGAGAAAATGCGGAGCCTTGCGAAGTAGACTTTCTGATGTGGCATTGGGCACTGGAACGGGTAAATTTTAAGTGCTAGAGCTGGTATCATGACGTTAGCAAGATAGAACACATATCAGTTTACTTTTATCACCAGTCCCCTACACAAGAGGGTTGTAAAACGGCGTATAGCCCACTTCACCAGAGTAAAATGTCCGGTCGCCAACCATGCGAGCCTTTAGGGCAGCGCGAAGAGCGTCGGCATTCGGCTCGCCTTCCACCTTCATCTGATGTACCTTGATGAGCTTCCCATCTTGCGTGAACACGTAAACGCCCTTTCCCTTTGTAGAATCAATGGGATGCGTGCCATCCACAAATGGCAAGCCTGGAACAACGGAGAACTTGTCGCAGCCTTTGAGTGGTGTCACTTCTTCAAACTCAGTGAAGATAACTCGCCGGTGTTGAAAAGAAGGCTTTTCACTGGACGCACTGTTGGCAACCAGTGCCCTACTCCAGAGTGGACCCAAAACGCGATTTCTTCTACTGATGTCCAAGGATGACCAGTTTTGCCAATCTATATGCCTGTCCTCCGGCTTGATCTTGGCCGCATGGACCAATGGGCCGTCTCCTTCAGAGGCTCGCCAACCCGCATCTTCCACCGGAGGAACGAAAAGACCTTCCCTTATACCCTTGACGAGAATATCCGCGCCCTTCGGACAAACCAAATTCAATAAATCGGGTACCGTGCATGTATCGGGACTGGGAATGTCAAAGCCAGGGGCTGGAGTCTGCGCCAGGATAGTGCCATGATCGAAATGCTTGAGATGGAGCGTCTGAAGGGTGACACCGGTCTTAGTTTTACCGGCTAACAAGGTGTGATGTAGTGGTGCAGGGCCCCGGAAGCTTCAAGTATTGTGTTAGCGGGGTCCGTTCGTGGGTAATCTGCGACTGCATACTCGGGAAGCAACGATGGGTGGACATTTAGGCCTCCATACTTCGCGCCGTTGAGAAGCCGCGGAGGTACGAACAGCCCAAATGAGACGGCAATGATCAGGTTTATAGGGCCACCGGGTAGCGTAGGTGGCTAACAGTGTCAGCACGTAGCCATAGTAGGTGTCAATAGCTGCGAGTTACCGTCCAGCCTCGAAAAGTATCTATCTCGTGAATCGGGAGCGACAACTCCGTTGCGGCCGCTTTGATGGGAACTGCAAGGTAAAAATACAATTAGCTGCGCGAACAACTTGTCAAGCTTGCCTAGATAAGTACCCTCGCGGATCTGCTTCAACCCTCTTCCAACCTTCTTCCCTGGCCTGCAAACGACATCAATTGAGGCAATCCGATCCGGTCGCTTGACATGTTCTTCATGGAGAGCTTTCAACGAAGCTATGCTGAAATCGTCAGATCCGCAAAAGAGAATCCGAAGTGGGTCGTAGGCCTTCGTCGCAAGGCATCTATGTGACAACGATGGGAAAAGACCGGCTCGTCTGTAGACACAGAGAGCTCCAGGTCCCCGCAGGAGAAACATGGCCAGCAATTGACGGCAGCGATGTGCGGGTGACGGAACAATCAACAGTCGCATCCGCAGCAGCTCCGGCAAGTTCGCCGACCTGCCATCTCCACCACGTGATGTCACCGCCGCCCACTACTCCAGTCCGTCTGGTGATGATGAGTGTTTCCCACTCAACTGCACTGCTTCACTGTGAGCTGGAGCTCACGGTTTGATGGTGCAATGCCGGAGAGCGATTTAGCGTCAGTGATTCCTGCGCAGCTGTCGTTCCTCGCTATATACAACCCCCGCCTCGGTCCGACCGACGAGACAATCCGCGACCAAGTCGTCTTCTATACATCTCGATCGGGTCGATCGCGCCGACGTGAAGGCTCCGCAGCTGACGATGGCGACCAATACTCCAACGATTACTGGAATGAGATATTGCGACAGATAGGTCTGGCACAGGGCATGGTAGGCTTTGCCAGGTGGGACTCGCTACACATCTTTCTACCACAACTGGCGCTGTACTAAAGATCCTAGGGACTTTTCGCAAGGAAAAGCAGTCGATTACGTCGAAACCGAAAAATCGCAGATTATCCTACACGAACTTGAGAAGGACTGGTGGATTTTAGCTGTAAGTAGACTTGCGCCAGAGCATCACATCGATAGCTGCTGAGCTTGTTACAGTCTGTCGACCTGACTCGCCTCCCACTTGATCAACCTAGCACAACTTCCTCCCAGCGCGATGCCTCGTCTCCTTCATTCAGCTATTCCTCAAGGGAGATGTCTCCTCCTGCTTTGCTAATACAACAACTGCGTCGAGCCCACTCCATCTTTCTTCTCCACCACGATTCGACACTTGACGCCTTATACAGTCGTGTTGGCAGACCTACATTCTGTGCTCTCCTTGATAATTTCTGGTGGAAGTTCTCATGGACCTGGGAGGTTCTTCTAAGCGGAAACCCCGCTGTAGACATATACAATGGCGTCAAGCTCTCCGCTGGGGGTGAACTCGGAATCGGCGTTGGCGAAGAAGAGTGGGGAAGCGGGGAGAGGGAGGTTTTAGAGGATTTTGTCGCCCGCACAGATGGCCTCCTGGACTTAGTTGTCTCACGATTTGGTGATCCTAGTTCCTCTGACAAGGAGCCGGCAGCAAACAACAGACCGGGAGATTCGCTGAACACAGGTGATGGCGAGGACCGATGGCTTGGCTCAGGAGCTTGCCCTAGGCCTGCAGATGGCGTTATATTCTCAGGAGTAGGAGGAATCTCTAGGCCGTCCCTCTTGCGAATCTCACAATGGATGGAATCAATCTACAGATACGGCGCCGACGCATACGGAGTAGGCGAAGACCCAAGCTCACCACGTCGTCGAAAGCGGCGAAGAAAGCACCGCAGCAAACTAGCTGGAAGCGATCCCACCAAGCAAACGGTGGCGGAACCTCAAGCTACGACACCCGATCGCCCTTTCTCTCCAGGTATACCACCTCCACTCGTGGTAGGAACAGCGGAGTCTCCGCAGGCTCCACAGAAGTCGAGCTCACATACCAGTGGCGAGAGCTCACCAGTAGGAAGCGATCGAGGAAACGATTGGATAGGCTTCAGGACAGAGACATTTGTGAAATATCTTACTCTTGGCTATGGCTCGTCTTGGGGAGTATCGTCGGGAACAGCCAGTCCACACCCGCGAGTCGAGGCTATAAAGCGAGAAGACAGGCCGATGAGTCCAGACAAACAGACGGATTTGTCTACTGATGCTCCGGGAGCCACTAATGGGGAGGACCCTCAGCCCAATGATGGCAAAAAGATTCAGAGCTGTGGGAAATTCCTCATTGGCCTGCTTTCTAATACTGACAATCAGAGCGCACCTATGCACGAGGGCTCTGACCCAACGGACAGTCAGACAGGGCCATCGCAGAATAATATAAACTACAGACGCTTGCACATTCAATTGTCAGAGTCTACGGAGCCGGCTCTAACAGGTAAGGGGTTCAATGTGTGATTAGACCTTCCACAGCTAACCAGCTGCATCTAAGGCTTAACAGAACTGCAAGTAGTAGTCTATATCGTATGCCTTCCCCATACCACACAGCCTTACTACCAGAACTAACAGACTTACAGCATCAACCATTCATATATACATTCCTATTTGATCCTGCAACCCCGACTCTATCCGATCTGACGCTATATCAGAGCATCAGCCACCAACTCAGCCCTCTCCATAAATCTCTCAGCAATTCCACATCACCTGCCACCGCAGAACTTCGCATTTCCATGTCTGATAACGCCCTCGATATCAACAAGCGATTTTCCGGTAAAACGCAGCCCGTCTACAATCTAGTCTACGACCAGACAAACTTGACAATCCGCTCTTCAATCCCGAACATACCAGACCTTGGGTCCACCGTCAACGAACCCCGGGATCCAGCCACACACCCATGGTCGCGTGTCGAGAGCCTCAATATCCATCACCGGCTCTTAAGCACCCACCTTGAAACCCGCTCGCGACCTCTCGAGGTCGAAAGAACCTGCAAGACCAGCCGCGGCTGGTGGATCGTCTGGATCCGAATGTCCGAACCCCCCAGACAAGAACAAGAGAACACGGCCTCCAACGCCAGCGTTCAGACCAACACGGAGCCGGACAACAACAATGCCCACCAGGAAGCATTCATCGTCCGCAGATCCAGTGACTCCGTCTCCCCATCCGGACACGCACGCAATAGTAGCAGCACTCGATTCTTCCGCGATCTAGGCGGGGCTTCATCGCCGGGATTGCAGGCATCGCGGACCGATACAGGACCGGGGAAACTTGTCGAAGGGCTGGGCCTGGACGCAAGACGATATATTGAGAACTTGCTCAGCTTGAATAGATAAGACACGACATGATATATATACATTTACGAACCAATAAAGCGATTCAATTGATATATTTGATAGTCACTATTTGCAATGAATATGGTAGATCATTCACCCTGCCAGTACTACCACATCTAATGCATTGCATCCTGAACCAATCAGACAAAAGGGAATAGCAACTGTAAGTACTACTGTAGCCGAAGATAAATAATTCACTATCCACTTAAAACGAAGATCATACCCACAGAACAAACCCACCTACAAGCGAGGCAGAAATTTGATAGATGCTTCACTCAATGCATGACTCGGAGTAAGAAGAAGCATGAGATACAGTGAAGAAGATCTTCACTGTAAGACAGGCAATGAAACTGAGTAGTTCATCGTGCCTTGATCCGACAATCCATCTTTAGATTGTTATGCTAAACTCACGATGTATATATTTCAGTACTCAAGTACTTTTAGTAGAACACCCAGTAATTGAATTGCCTTTCAGCATTCATATAATAAAGTATATACATAAGCTCGAACTACACCTTCTACTTACTATAAAAAAAAAAATTAGATAGTCAAATAGGGAAGGAAACCTAGGTACACACTTGTGTAGATAGTAGGATAGTTCATTACCCCTGAAAAAGAATAGTCCCGTAAGTCACATACAGAACCGCCGGTACGTACGTACGTACGTATGTATGTATGAAAACGAATAAAATCGAACGGGGTCATTAATACATACCGCATAACAACTTACTTCCTGTTTCTATCACGTACTATAAATGACTACATTATATCTTCTACTTTTTAAACATATATCTACTATTTCGCTGTTCCTTGTTTTCTCGCGACTATCGGATTTCCATATATAGATGGAGAACCAGGATGAGTGGTCGTGGTTGAACTTACGTCTTGACTTCTATCTAGTTCGGCTAGTGTTACTATCATTAGACGCTAGCTATCAGTGGATTGGCATCCTTCCCCCCCTTGGCTTTCTGTAGGCTGCCGAATATCGCTGTGTTAGGCTATGGAGTGTTGCTATTTGAGGTAGTATGCGTACCACTCGTCAATCTACTGATATGGGTCAGAAAGTACGGATGCTAAAATAGATGGTTGTACTGGGAGAATACCCAGTGCATACGCAACAAGGATCACAGTACGAGAAAGGCGTGGAAGAAAATGGTGGATTAGTAAATAGTAACTTAATAGGCGTGCTAGATATTCCTCATGTCTGCTCGGAGACCATGACGATAGAACATGATGCAGTGCAGGTTCGACTGGATAGGCTGCAGGACATGTAGGAGAAAACCAAGCCAACGACAAATTCCATGCATTCTCTTTAACCGAAACAGGGGAAAAACAACAGAAATGGGGGATAAGACTGTGCTGAGGGGAATCCGTACAAAGTGAGAATCGGGGTTCCGACTCTCGACTTCTTTTTCTTTCCTTGGACCGGATACATTCGGGAGATTTGACTGATGGAAGAGACGTGTGATGAACGCATTTCCCCAGTTGCTCAATTCCGAACTGCAGTACTCGGGGTAGCGAGGACGTTTGCTTTGAAGGCAACCTGGCGCCCTTCTTGCCATAGTGACCGAGAACCATCCCGTTAGGCGCCTATGGAGCTGGAAACCGATAGGAAAGAAAAAAAGAAAAAACCCACGAGGTTATGAAGACAACGCCTCCCTAGAAAATCAAATCAAGTCTGCAAAATAGAAAGTCGACCAAGTGCATAGCCAGATATCCCATGAAGCTCATGTGCCCGTGATTGAACATTATCCACACTCGCATCCGGGCACACATAGTGGAACACGCCAACGGAATGACCCCCTCTTAATAAATAGTAGAAAACCAAAGGATCAGACGCTTATCCGTTCATATAATCTCCGCATGAAACAGACCTTTTGCGAAGGAGAGAAAACTAGTTTACAGGATAGTGCACTTCTTCTTACTCTTGTGGGTCTTGGTAAGAAGGGCAGCCCGGGTGGCAGCCTCGAAGACCTCGCGGACACCCTCGTTGGTGCGCGCAGAGCACTCAAGGTACTTGTAAGCACCGATCTTCTTGCGAACCTCCTCACCCTAATCGCATATTAGCCTCTATATCGGGGGATGATGCATCCTTTTGGTCGTGTGCCACATACCTGCTCAGGGGTAACCGGCTTTTGGGAGGTCTTGTGAAGCTCCTCGATGGTCTTGGGGTCGTGGCGCAGATCCATCTTGCAGCCAACAAGGATGATGGGGAGTCCCTGACAGAAGTGGAGGACCTCAGAGATCCACTGCAATGATATTAGTTATCTGGAAAGCAGGTCCTTTGCCCATCTGCCCGCTAAGGAGACGAGGCATGTCGCGGAGAACTAACCTTCTCCTGGACGTTGTCGAGGGAATCGGGAGAGTCAACCGCGAAACAGATCAGGATGACATGGGAGTCAGGGTATGAAAGAGGACGAAGACGGTCATAATCTTCCTGACCAGCCGTATCCCAAAGGGCAAGTTCGACGTGCTTGCCATCGACCTCTACGTCGGCGACGTAGTTCTCAAAGACAGTAGGGACGTACACCTAAAGCGTGATAGGGTCAGCTTGACAGAAGCGGAGTGCTTGTTGACTGGAAGGCTAGCCAGATATCTCGAGATGGCCATGGGGGGGTGAAAGACGGCATTAAGGATCAGGTCAGGAGGGTCGGTGGAAGCTAACCTCAGGGAAGGTACCCTTGGAGAAGACGCTGGTAAAAAAGAAGAAGCCAGAGTTAGTTCACTGCTTGATCCCTATGTAGCGAAATTGGAAGAAGGGAGGATACTCACATCAAGAGACAAGTCTTACCGCAGGCACCATCGCCCACGATGACGAGCTTGCGGCGGATTTCAGCCATCTTTCAGAGCGTGGAGGATTAGCAAAGGACGAGGAGGAAGAGAAGTTGAATAGAAATAAAGGGGATGATGTGGTGAAAGAGTGGCCAACGACAACGAGCGAGGTGGGAAGCTGTTGTTGCAGGAGTGGATGGATGGGGGTGTTGGATGGGGGAAGTTGAGAGTAGAGAAAGGGACAAGTCAGGCGCCCGAGGAAAAGGGTTATCACGTACGGTGCAGGGGAGTCGTAGGCGCAACGGGCGCGGACTAAAATATTCAGGGAGGGAAAGGCAGGGTGAATGGCCGAGCCAAGAGTTTCCAGTAATAAACCCAACAAACGAGTTTACGAGGAAAGAATGGCACGGAAGGTAGAAAAAAAGTTCCCCAAGGAACAATGATGAGGAAGGGAGGAAAAGGTTGTTGATAGAAGGATGGAAGAGAAGAGAGGGAGAGAGAGAGAGAGAGAGAGAAAGAGAGGAGAGGGAGAGAGACAATGCTTGGTGCAGCTGGATTGGTACTGCTGCTGCTGCTGCTGCTGCTGCTGCTGCTTTGCTGCTGGCGTGTGTATGGGTCAGTTATCGGCGGTTGGCCCCAGGGCTGGCTTTTGGCTCCTCCTTCGTTTGGGCGACGTCCTGTTCTTTCGTTTCCCTCCTCCTTCAACCCCCCCGTTCCTTTCAGGTGAGGCTCCCTGTTCCCGAAAAGTAGGGTGACTAAGGAAAGGAACCCGACCAAACCTAGACTAGAAGGGCCTGAAACGGTTGGCAAGCGACATTTGGCCCAGCCCCATCCACCTTTCCTGGTGAAAACGCTATGTGGCTGTGAAAGCCAGTTAGTTCTTTTATTATTTTATTTTATTTTGATTTGATTTGATTCAGATTATGACGATTTTATTTTCCCACTCTTTCTCCCCTTTCCCTCCAATTTCCCCATTCATGTGATTCAATTAATTATTATCTTTCCTCCCATCTTGGACACACTCTTATTACTGTATGTAGATGTACTACTACAGAACAAAAGGCAAAAAAGAAGAAAAAAAAAGAAAAGTATCATACTTGGGAATGACGTGATATGCTTTCCCAGTCTCCTCAGTAGGACACAGTACAGTTTGATGGCTTGTATCGCATTGGAATTTAATAAAATGGTTTATGGGCCAACCAGATGAGAGATGTCGGATAATCTTTCCACGCCCTTTCTTTCTCTTTCTTTTCTTTCTTTCTTTTTCATCTCTACAATTGCCATCTCTCCTTTTCTTCTATCAAATTACCTCCTTTTAATAGGCACCGAATTTGTTTCGCTTGTGACCCAGTTTCTCTCCTTCGTACAATGCTGCTTACTTAGCTGCCTAGTTTGGTCTGCCTTCATTCTCCGTCAAAGCCACCGTGGCTGAAGACTAATGACAGGGTGAACGCAGTAATAATCGACATTACCTACGGGTATCAGTGGCACTTACGTATTGTCGTGGCTCGTGTTTACACGATTATGTACTCATTCCCAGGCATTCAGCCCAGTCAAGCTTCATCCAGTTTCTTCCCCTGTAGTAGTCGAGCTCCTTTTTTGCTGCTATTAAGCTCCAACCTAACTAGTTCTTCGGTCCATCTCGGCTGCGTAGTGGTAAGTTAGTTAGACTAAGCACTGAATAGTTGTCAGTCGTCAGACTGCATTGCCTTAGCCTTCTTCTATATTCCGCGGGCTTATCTTCCGAACAATTTCGAAGGGGGGGAACTGCAAAAGTAAAAAGGTAAACAAAAATTGCCTGCTACAATTGAGGCCATGCCATAATCGATATACTTCGTGATAGTACTACCAGTAACATGGTCCATCCTACATCCGCAATAGAAGAACTCCCCGTCGACACCATAGTTACCGTCGCCATAGTCGGAGAGAGCCTAGAAGCCTGTGGGCGCCCCAGAGAGTCGGAGCTGTCGGCTGTGGCTCCATACTTCTCCTAATCGGCGGTGTCGCGTCCCTCCGGTTGTCTGGGTAAGCTGCCACAGTATGTTGTAACTCATGTGTTCCTCTCACTTCCATGCTTCAGCATTAAAGATCGCGATAATCAAGCCAGCGAATTCCAAGTTCAATACAAGTCTTCGGGAGGTCAAGCAATTCCTCGATTCGCTATACTCATTCGGGCCTACCCTGCATGCTACCCCAGCTTTCTTCCTTGGACAGACATACCGGCTGGATTTCGCCTATGCATCTTGGATCACTCATTACATCGTGCTACACCATGCACGGAGTACTCCGCCCCAAGGAATAACATCATAGTCTGCAGCTCGCAATGATGTAGACGGCTGGTGGTGGAAGGGATAACCCAAAGATGATAACCCTGCAGGCGCCCTATCTTTACGCTGATTCGTTCCATTGCGAATGTCCCGATAGTCCAGGATTGAGCGTGTAGATACCTGCTGTACGGTCTGCATTGGCGATCCGAGTATAGCCAGGCAGCGGTCAGATTGCTTTTTCAGCGAACAACTCATCACCAAGCCAGACTTTCTGTGGGCATTATGGAGTAAAAATGATGATATTTCCTGAAAAGTGCCTTCAATTTCCAGAAGAATGACAGACCCTCGGCACTCAAGATAACTATCGGACCTTCCGAGGGAATAGGCTTAGCCTGGAAGGAGTAACCAAAGGTACGTACTTCTGGTGCGGTATGACGGTAATCTTCCAGACCCGCTAGGGGGGAGATGCTTCCTTCAATTACCGACAGCAAAGAGACGTGGCGGTGCAATTGATCGCCATGCTCTTTACCAAACATGGTCGGTACGTATATTCCTCCAGTGCAAACGTCATCTTTGACTAGAAGCAGGCAACTCCTTTATTTCTTTCCTATTCTGAATATCAAAACAGATTGAGGATCGAAAGACGCAGAGGATCACGGAGTATATGGTCACCATTGCAAATAGCTGGTTGTCAAGTGGGGTGGTTGTGACCGTACTTAAGACTCAGCAAATGGCCTGGCTGACGTTTCGTATGCGGAATGCGGAAGTGCAGGAAAGATGCTGCAAGTCCGCGGCCGAGACGCTTTACTTCCACTACGGAGTCGATTTTCCGTACTCTCCGAGTTCCTTCGTGCGGAGAAAGCAGCCATAGATGATCTGCCACGGCCTTCTGGGCCTAGTTGCTGTACGAGAGCAGGTCTTGTGCACCTATGAAGTACATGATCTTCACTGTTCTGAGTCAGTCTCTCAAACAGCAAACGCTGTTGAAATGTTGCTAGCTCAGTCTTGTGCCTGGCTGACTTGGCAGGCTGTGGTTGTGTCTGACCGAACCTGCTTATTGCCTACTGATCGTGTCAGATGCTGTGCCGAATCCAATTGGGGATCCGTAACTCTCAGCAGTGGTAAGACATGATCGGTGACACCGTCCCAGAGATCCGCTACATTGGCATTTGTCCTACAGGTGGCTTCTTGCAGTAAGGATGGCAGTCATCGATGGATTACGAATCTACACAGTTGTCTGCCAACCCACTTCACAGAGTCGATAGATTTGGACGTTGTATTAGGTAGCTCTTGAGTGTGTTCACCTTCCCGGAGGATCTACTCAGTACCTCGCACATCATTGAACAAGTCATCGCGCGAGAGGTCCCTGCGTTAGCTCGCCGGTGATCTCACACAGCAGAGTACACTGAAGTACGCTGGGCATGTACTGGAAACACTACGTTGTTGCCTGCTACGGATACCTGTTGCCAATGATGGCATACCCCTTGTGCCTTCGGCGTTGAAGACGATGGCGGCTGTGCCATGAAGACCACAACTGATATGAATCCATTTAAATTTCAGAAAGATTGAGATACCGTATTATAGTATCAGTACCTGCAGCGGGAATAGTTGGCGTTACTCCCTGAGAGACTATGAGGACAGGGCCAACCTTGTGTGTGGGTTATCATAATCCTTAGAGGTAGCATGATCTATAGGCAACATGATACACTCTTCTTTGTGCTGATAAATAAAACCAAAGCCTCCCGCGTTATAGCACCATACACTGGATGTTATGATGTCTACATCTATGGGAGACCCCCGATATAGCACTTATACCCAAACGAAGATGGCATAAACAGTCCTTGAACATGAGCGATGGTCTCGGTATGGTTGCAATCGATCTATGGTAAATGGACAGCCCTGTGCCACATCAACTTATCTGCTCTGCAGAATAAGTCTAAGGTCCTCAGTCTATATTAGTTCTCTTTGGCCTGTAGGATCTAAAAGATACTGATAACGATGCTTCATTTCGTACTGGTCAAAGAGTCCTCTCCGTTCCTCGAATATATTGGGGATTCCACTTTTCAAGATTTTCCATTCTCTCAAGGTAATACTGAACACAGAATATGAAGGGCACCCTGTCTCGATTGGAGGGGCCTTAAAAAGGTATTGACTTGGGGACTACTAGTACTTACCTAGTCCTAGGTGCACGTGCTAGGTTTGCCGTCGTAGCCCAGCTTTCTCTAAAGGTAGCTGCTGCATATTTGCTAGGATGTACTCAATGATTCAGATCTTTTAAAAGGATTTGCTTTAAAGTCTGCTTAATAATTCTTCCAGCAAATGTTGTGACGAGACTAATTGCAGTGTGTACATACTACTTTAGTACTTAGTAGTAAGTAGTTACGGAACCCCATTGGCTCTCCATAGTCCCGGTCACGTGCACGAACCAGGGCCGCAATTTTCCCTCCCGAGCATCTCTCAAGGCTTCCTGGTGACTCCGCGGGAACAATCGGCCATTGCTGGGCAACAGTCAAGATGCAGAAGGTCATTCGAAGGACCGCCCTGGCGCGGAACCAGGCCACACGGAAAGCAGTTCGAGCCACCAAATCAGCCGAACGCGAGGAATTGAAGGACAGTCTAAGGCAGCGCTTTGCCTACAACCGCATCGAGCTCGACAACCTCCGCGCGGAAAGACAACGACGCCGTGAAGACTGGCTCCGTGGACCCCTGGCTCCCCAGCGCGATGCCGGTCTTGAAGGGAGGCTTTTTGGTGCGTTAAGCCCTCAGGCAATGAACCCTCCGCCTATTCCGGAGCACTTGCGGAGACAGTACATCAACATCGCTCCCGGCGACCGAGTATGCATCATGAAGGGCAAAGACAAGGGCAAGATCAACGAGGTTACTAGGGTGGATGCTACGACCGAGACTGTTGTGGTCAAGGATCTCAACATGGTATGAAAATATGTCTGGAGTAACCACTGTTTTGTTTGCTGATCCTTGGAATTTCCAATAACAGGCCGATGTCCACTTCCCCGACTGGCTGAATGAGCAGTATGGCAACTCGAGCCCCTTCCAGTCCGTGAGCCTGCCTCTTTCCATTGACGATGTTCGCCTTGTCGTCGCTCTCGATGATCCTGTCACCGGCGCCACACGAGATGTATTGGTTGAACATGTCCGCGGTGGAGAGCCTTTCCTCGAACGCGAGTACGGTACCGAAACGCCCCGACACACGAGATACATTGCCGGTGAAGACATTGAGATTCCCTGGCCCCGAAGTGACCCTGCAGAAATGAAGGATGAGACCTGGGACACGCTCCGTATGGAAGTCGAAACGCCCACTTGGATGCCGTCGTTGCACTATGCCCCATTCCCTCCCAGCGTCCTGGACGAGCTCCGCAACAAGTTTTCGAAGTACAGAACCAGACACGATGAGGAGTGGGTGGAAGCCAGGAAGTTGGAAGACTACAGAAGGGAATATCTGCAAAGCCGGTCTTTGTTGACACCCAGAGGTGAATTCTTGGCCATGCTTCAAGCCAAGAGGCAGGAGCGCCAGAACGCGAGGAAGGATGCCAATGGAAATTACATCCTGGATGATAAGACGGTCGGATTCATTGAGAACTTCATGAAGGAGAAAGCGACCAAGAAAGCCTAATTGCTTGCTGGGATTTCGTTTGGTGTTCCGACTTGTGGGAGAGTGCGCCTGGGTCTTTTCTGTTTCATTTCCCTTTTCCTTTTTTCCAATGGGTGTACACAATTATACTACTGTAGCATAGAATCTGAATGTATAAGATGAATAGTATGGATAGGCTGCTTCCCTGCAACACCAAACTGTAGGTTGATTTGAGTACAGTTACATCCGTCGCAAGAAGACTGGACGTAGGCGCGACCGGACCCAATCTTTGCGGACTACTTTGCCCCAAATGCGCTCGAAAATTATGGATGCGCGCGCCCACGGGTCGACAGGGCCGCCAGGGGAGGTCTGCAGCTGCGTTCCTTGCTAACTACTTTCTTTCTTCATCCATCCGATCCGCGTCCCGGTTTACCCATTTCTCCCCCATTCAACTTCCTTTGTCCTAGGCGGCCTCAACTGTTTTGACTTACGCAGATTATATATATAAGCGTCATTGGGGCTGTCACCTTCCACAGCATGGCTTTTGCCACGATCAACTCGTCGGTGCCGTCCAGTATCCCGGCCATTGAGGACGCCTTTGCCGCCCAACCAGCGCTCAAAAAACGGGTTTACGATGCGATCGGTGCGTGTTATGTCGCTTAAGACAACAATCTACTTTCACCCCACAACCCCATAGAAGGGGCAAGGACTGCCGGCTGACCCTCTTGACCTGTAAACAGCACATACCCCGCAACATGGACTTCTCTTCGAAGATATCGCGAAATACACTTCCAGCCTGCTGGCCAGGACTGCAACCGCCCCCGTTCGGCCTGTCGAGGTCGTCACCGACGGCCCGGCCATGAAGAAACGAAAACTACAGAATGGCAATGCTACAACTGCCCAATCCTCCGGGGACCTGAAAACCGATACTTCGCTCCAATTTTACATGCAGGATGTCTCCTTTGCTGTTCCCCAGCGGAAGAAGCTTACGCTCGAAATCACCGCGGGATTCTTACGTGCGAGAAATCAGACATCGAAGGAGGTCGAGTTTGGAGTACATTTGGAAAACATACGTATGTGTAGAACTATGGTTGATGGAATTGGTGTCAATGCTGACAATGTTGTTGAATCCCAACAGAGCATGTCTTGTGCCTCCCCGTTCCCGAGAAGAACCAGCGACAATTTAACTTCTGCATTATCCCCCAATATGCGGACGGCGTCAACTCACCACCTGAAGGTGTAGCTGCTCCCGATGCCATCGTATGGACGGTCAACGACGGACCGCCCAAGGCAGCGTTCTCAGGAAATGGACAACAGCTTGGAACGGATAACGAAGAAACGGCTGATAAACTTGTCCAGCGGATACTGAACGACAGCCTCCCACGGACCAAGGTTGTGCGCCCAGATGAGCGAGAGTTCGTGAGTGCTATGCCTGAGGCTCACCGCAAGGGGGAGAAGGCCTATCATGTCAAGGCCTTCCGTGGCAGTAAAGAAGGTATGCACGCCGTGTCTTTCCTTATGTCCCCTTGACTAAAAATGTTACATCTCAGGCTATCTCTTCCTTCTTTCAACGGGAATACTATTCGGGTTCAAGAAACCACTGGTCTTCTTTGCCTTCGAAAACGTCGACTCAATCTCATACACCTCTGTCCTGCAACGGACCTTTAATCTCAATGTTGTAGCTCGGCCTACGTCAAGCGAAGAGACGCAGGAATTCGAATTTTCCATGATCGACCAGGCCGACTTCTCCGGAATTGATGGTTATATCAAAAAGCATGGTCTGCAGGATGCCAGTCTTGCCGAAGCACGACGTGCGAAGCGATACAATGTCAACAATGCCAAGGGAGACGATGAAGCTGCTGCCAATGGGGAAGGGGCCGTCGAGGAGGAAAGTGAACTACAGAAAGCCCAACGCGAGCTGGAAGATCAAGAGGACGAGGATGAGGAAGATTACGATCCCGGGAGTGACAGTGAGAGCGACGGAAGCGGCTCTAGTAGTGAGGACGACGACGACGATGATGATGAGGACGATGAAGGCGACATGGATGAGGACGGCGAAGAAGAAGACCGAAATTTGGTGGCGGAGGAGCTCGGAAGTGAAGCAGAAGACGTTCCGGCGGAGGAACTGTGAGAGACCGCCTATATATCCAACCTGCTGCTGTATGAATAAGTGACTGTTGCTATGGTCACACCAACACACCCTGTGTGCGATGTGATGAAGTGTATTCGACAATCGCGTGGCTAAAACCACTCTTCTGGATGGGCGGCTCGTTACATTACACCAGGCCACTCGAACGTATGAATTTTTGGGGCCGATTTAGGCCGGACTATGCCCCTGCATTATCTGGCATACGCGCCTGTATGCCGTAGAGTTTTGCCAACGAGGCATTCCACGTCTGATGTAGTTGGGGAAGGAGAAACCGTTTCAAGGCTGCATTGAATGCGTTTCAAACGGGCAGTCATCACTACAAGGCCAATCGAGCAGAACAAACCAAGCACAGGCATCCAGTGGGATGTGGGTCATGGACGTGTCAGATGCGTCTAAAATGGAGGAGCCACTGATGGATGTGCTACGGAGTTGCAGGATGCCCGGCTGTGCGGCGCAGTACTCAGTAGCGACAATTCATGGGAAGTCAGTCCTCCATGGGAAATCCGATCATGACGGCCGGTTACTTCTTCGAGAACACTTCTAATCCTCCATATTATTGAAAAGTGGTGGAAGCCGCCAACCCAATTGGGCTCTTCGGAAGCACCGCTGTGCTATCAGGACCCCCAAATCCCACTCCGATACCTTGTACCAATGAAATCAGCAGGTCAATATACCTTGATAATGAGGACACTGCGGAGCAAAGTAATCCTCGTCCTACTCCTCGTTTGGAAAGAGTGGGGAGGGGGGGGTGTGGATGAGTATTAAGTCTAGTCTCCTAATTCTCAAGTCACTCACTCAGTCACAGCCTTCGTATCTATTATGTGTCTAGTATCTACTAACTGGTAGGGGCCAGGTAAGTACGGTATGATACATAAGTTTTCCCCGATACGACACCTATCTACCACTAGCAGCTACCGAACAATTTTACTAGTAGTAGTCGGACTACTATTTGAAGTAGCTCGATTGGTTGCCCTGAGCGTCAGGTTGGGTTACAGACTGGTCAGGGGCAGTGCCAGCTCAGCGCAGGTACCTTCAAACCCCTCAAGGCTTTTTAGATGCAGACCGCAGCACCTCACTAGTCACTAGGCAGATTAAGAGTGATTAGCCGCTAGGAGCCAGCTGACAGTCTGTCATTGTCGAATAATATATACGGGGCGTTGTTTTAGCTGGATTGACAGCTACGATCGCTGGCGATTATTGGTAGAGAAGGGGAGAAGGGAATTGGACCGCGGTGTCGGTTAGGTTACTTACTTACTTACCTAACTAGCAAAGTACAAAGTCAATTACTAGTTAGGTTGGATAGTATACGATCTTACTAACCTAGGAAGTTATTATCTGCGCCATTACCCGCAGCTTGCGGACAACTCGCATCCCCTCTGCGCAGGTACTTCAAACTCTGGGTTTAGGGGTCCTGGGGTTAAATTGTTGCTTGCTTGTTCCGGAGTAGAAATCCGATTGAGAGGAGGATGTGTCCCGCAATGATAGGGGAAAGAGAAGCAATGTGATTCGATTTATTGAACTACCGATCGGATAAACGATCCATAAAGATGAAGTTAGTCATTAGATACGTAGTGTTAGTCTATTAGGCATGTGTTGGCTTTTCATGAGCTCCTCTGCTCCAAGTCAAGTATAGGCAGGTTTTATGTTCCGCAGGGAAATAGATTGATACACCACGTATGTACCTGAAATTACGTTACCATGCCAAAACCAGCTAGACCTTGATGGCCATTTCCATCCTGTCGTTCATTCCTCGGTCAAGGGAGCAACCACAACTATCTTAGTAGGCCCAGGGGGGAGGACAAGTGCGACTTGTGAAAGTATAGTAGTCATTTGTAGTGATTATGGTAAATAAATAGTTGCTTGAAACTAGCCTCAATGTCAATTGCGGTGACTATATAATTATTCTAAATAGTATCTATATAGGTGTAGGAAAAGAGAATAAAATGGATGGATGGATTCCTTTTGCCCACCGTGAGCGAACCCCCGGGGGTTCCATGTTTCTTTTTTTTTTTTCTATTTTTTTTTATTTATCCTTTCCTTGTTTAGTGCTGGATGGAGCTTTTGACGACACACTTAAACTGCGCCAGCCCCATGTGGCACTGGGGTGGAAAAGAGGAGAAAAAGGTAACAATCGTACCATCGAGACCACCGCAATAATAAATAATCATAATAATAGCTTTTTCCATCTGGTCCAGAATCCACTGCTGGCGTCTACTAACCGGAGTAGTGCCCGCTTTCAACCGTTCATCGCCCAAACAGGCTGAGCGCTAGCGGCGCCGCTAGTAAAGGTCCCTGGGTCAGGGCGATTCCGAGTTCAGGATAAAATTTGGGAGGCGAATAAGCGCCATTGAAGTCTGCAACTCGATCCTTTCATTGGCTCTCATATTGTATCCAGAGTTTTCTTCACTTCCTTGGGATCAACAGTCCCAGTGTCTGGTAGACATGAGAGACAACTCTGGGGTAATCTGAAAAATATGGAGATCTTGTCTCACTCACATAATCTTACCTGATCAGCAAGTGGTGGTAATAGTAGTACTTCATTAGGAGAGAGAGGTATGTGGGAAGTGGAAGGACTGATGAATGAATGAATGAAGAAATGCATGGGGCCCTCGGGATGTCTCAGTGTAATCAGGTACCATACCCGTACTCCCGATTACCGCCCTTCATCCCCTATCGATGGGGCCTTTCCGGCTCCAATCGCCTGCACTAGTTGATACCAGTTACCCAGTTGTTACCATCGTTACCGTGAGAAAAACCGGGCGGAAGCGCCCCATTTCGAAGGGCGTCATCGGGTTTCGACTTTCTCGAGTCTTTCGACAGGTAAGTAAGTTACTTGACTTTACTGACTTTACTTACCTGAACTAGTAGCCGATACGGTTGTTCCGTCATGACCTGACCAAAACCTAGCAAAGGAACCAGACCGGACCAGACCAAACCTCTCTCTCTCTCTCTCTCCCTCTCCCTCTCATCCAACCATCGCCTCTCTTGTCGCGCTCTCTCTCCCTCTCTCTCTCTCTCCTCTTCCTCTTCCTCTTTTCTCCTGCTCCTGTTATTCTCCGCCTCATTTCTTTCCCTTCCTTTTCCCTTTCCCTTTCCCTCCTCCTCCTCCCCCATAGGCAGGTCGTAGCAGTTGTAGTTCATGCCATCGGCGTGTTCGCTGCTCACCTAGGTCCTCTCTACCTACCTACTCTTCCTCCCGTCTCCATTCCTCCTATCACACTTCTTTCCCTTCTTCTCTCTCCTCCCTCCGTCTTCCTCCCCTTCGACGGCGCCCTCCAATTCTACATCTACCACTGCCTGCCCAGTGCGTTTTTGCCGTACTGCCACGCGGTTGGTCGGTAGTAGGGGAATTTTCTTTCCTTATTTTTTTTTCCCTCCCTCCCTCCTTACCCCTTCTCGATTAATTCTCTTTTTTCCCAAAATCGAACATTTTATTCCTCGTCCCCTTTCCGGCGAGCGCACCCTTAACTGTCAGCCTGCAGCCCTCAAAGCTGTCGGTTCCCCGGAATACCTTGTTCTTCCCTCTCCCGTCACCCTTCTTGCCAACGCCGTCCAAGGGTGCACCCTATTCCCTCCCCGTCCAAATTCACCGGTGCGATTGTTCGAGCGACCATCTATCTCGCCGTCTGCGGTCTCCGATTTGTCGTCCGTCTAAATTCCGTGCTCGCTGTACACTGGGGTTCTCTTTCATGAATGGTTCGCATTGGTACCATCGGGCTTCCTGTAAGACTCCGGTCGCCTTTTCCCCCTCTCTCACCCTCCACGCCCCAGGGCCCGCTACTAGACCTCTTTTCTTTCGTCATTCATTCATTCATTCCCTCTTGTCGATTATTCTGACCCATCCCGTCAGGCTAGTCTCACGTGTAACCGCCGTTGATCGAGTCCTCTGAGCCTACCTTCCCCTTCTCTCCGCCCCTGTCCGCGGTCTCTCAACGTCCCTCCTCCCCTCCCAACTACCGCAGCCATGTCATCCTCCTCGTCCAACGTCGTCGGTGTCCACTACCGAGTAGGGAAGAAGATCGGTGAAGGATCGTTCGGTGTGATCTTCGAGGGTACGAATTTGTTGAACAATCAGCAGGTGGCGATCAAATTCGTACGTGATACTCTTGATGGCACGGGTCTACGGTTCGCCCATACTAATGGTACTAGGAACCTCGCAAGAGTGATGCACCACAGCTTCGCGATGAATATCGGACATATAAGATTCTGGTTGGATGCCGTGAGTATACCCTGATGGCAATTGTGTTTGTAAGGTTTCCCGGCTCTGACTAGTTGCAGCTGGCATCCCCAATGTCTACTACTTCGGGCAAGAAGGTCTTCACAACATTCTGGTTATCGACCTGCTCGGTCCCAGTTTGGAAGACCTCTTCGATCATTGCAACCGACGTTTCTCAATCAAGACTGTTGTCATGGTCGCTAAGCAGATGGTGCGTACTCCGACCAATCCATGTGCGGATGTTCATACTAACATGCTTCAAGCTTTCACGAGTCCAAACGATCCACGAGAAGAACCTAATCTACCGTGACATCAAGCCCGACAACTTCCTCATTGGTCGTCCAAACACCAAGGCTGCTAATGTAATCCACGTTGTTGATTTCGGTATGGCCAAGCAGTATAGAGATCCCAAGACGAAGCAGCATATTCCCTACCGCGAACGGAAGTCGCTGTCCGGCACAGCCCGTTACATGAGCATCAACACCCACTTGGGACGTGAACAATCGCGACGTGATGACCTCGAAGCTTTGGGCCACGTCTTCCTGTACTTCCTCAGAGGTGGCCTCCCCTGGCAGGGTCTCAAGGCTGCCACCAACAAGCAGAAGTATGAGAAGATTGGCGAGAAGAAGCAGACCACCGCAATCAAGGATCTTTGCGATGGATTCCCAGGTGATTGCGTCTCTTTTCCTTTAATGGAATCATTATCACTAATCAGATGGCTTAGAAGAATTCACAAAGTACCTCACTTATGTGCGCAACCTCGGCTTCGAGGATACCCCTGACTACGATTACCTCCGGGACCTCTTGACACAGGCTCTCAAGAATGCCGGAGAAGTCGAAGATGGCGAATATGACTGGATGAAGCTCAACAATGGAAGAGGATGGGAGTACAAGTCCTACTCGTCCCAACAGCACCTCCACAACAATGCCCTTCCCAACACCTCTGCCCGCGAGCTACACGCACAGCAGCTCCGCGGCAGTCGGCCCGGAGTGACTGCCGACCGTTTAAACGCCGCTCAGCCCCCGCCTCCGTCTCCGGCCAAGCCCGGAGCTGGCAAGACACGCGACCGGCCAAGCGTCTCAGGCGGCATGCCGCCGAAGCGCCAAAGCGGGGGCCTGGATGCCACGCCGACAGCATCGACTCAAGCACAGTTTCAGAACTCGAATGCCAACATTCCGGGACGCCTGGACAGCCCTGCGAACCCGACGAAGAACAGCCAACAAGGCCAGGGCGCTCAGGGGAACAATGAGCCGCAGCCTACGTTCGTCCAGAAGCTGATGAAGGCGCTTTGCTGCGGTAGGTGATCCAAAATGCATACCGCAAGTTTTTAGGCCTTCCCATACTTATACCGGGATATCCAGGTTGATGCGAGGATGAGCGTGGAATTCCCTGGAATTCTACATGAATCACCTGGTCATGTTGGCTTCTCGACTTTCTTTCGTTATTTCTTGTTCTCAACATACTTGGGAGGTTTGAAAGGCAGCATGCGATTATACTGTGTTATAGCCCGGGAACTCTCCCCATCCCGTTGTACGTGTTTCGACTTGCCGACGCAGCTGCTGTTGCAGCTGCTGATGCAGGTGAACATGATGTTGGCTTTGGGGAGCGTGGATATATTGTTCTTTTTCCTTATTTGTGTCATCCATGGGTCTCGGATCAAGAGCATCTGGCTCCAACCCGCCTGCTCTCGCTCTCTCTTCTCTCTCTAATCTGCCAAGGCAACATCAGCACGAAATGCGTCGGCCTTCGATATAGAAACGACCCTCCCACGTCTTTCTCATCATCACCCTCGTCATCTCAACACTCTCTTTATGGTGCTACGGCTCGGAACGGCGAACCTGATCAGTCCTGCTTGTGTCATTGCATTTCTTTTCCTCTCTCTTCTTTATTTCCTTCGTCCCGCATTCCCGGCACGAGTCATTTAATACTAGAGTTCCGTCTTGTGTTTGTCAGAGTACATGATCAGTGCCCCGAACCTCTTACCTTTCCTCTTCGACCCGTCTCTGACATCTACCACTCTATCACGTCGGGTCTCTCGTGGCTGGTCTTTCGATGGTAATTTTAATGATGTGGCAGAAGGGCGTTTGGCATTTGGTGGAAGTCCTCGCGTGTCGTCCGGGCAGACACTGATTTACAAAGCATTTTTAGCATTTAAATGTTTGAATATGCGGCCCCGTGGAATGCGTGTGCAGGACCAATTGAGTCCTCGGTCAAGGAGTTCATGCGATAGCGGCCTGCGGCTGTTTCTGTTTACTTTTTTCTTCTTTTTCAATTCCATTCTGTTGTCGCTTTCCACGCGCATTTGCAAGGAATCATTCGGATGTAGCCGTGTGTTTTGTTGGATTTGTACTTGTTCCTATCATGCTCTCTGCCGTTGTCAGTTTCAAAAACAGTTGATTCACCAGATTCGCCTGGTTCTTTCGTCCTTTTTTTCTTTCCGTGCTCGAAGGGTGTGACGAGGAGTCTGCTCGACCCTTTGTGGTCGAGGGACGATGGTGGAGCAGTAAACCAAGCCCTGAGTCGGCCTCGAAGAGGTTTGCGTTCCAGAGTCTGTGGCCAGTTGTGCTATATATACGTTGATGCAGAGTGACATGTGACGATGACAGGGAGTCTCAGATCTACTGAAACAGGAAGAGAAAGAGGGTATATGCATTCACCATAGCCGTGGGAGTTCTATATCGAAGACGGGGGCTTGGTTTCCGTAGAGTAATCCGGTCTTTTGGATGTCAGGCGTGTGAACATGGGCGTGTTAGGAGTTGTTGTTGAAGATACCTAGTTTTTACTACTTTGGCATACATAGTATAGTACTACTTTAATCCCATTAGAAAGAGCTTCTAATATACATGTCTATAGCAATCACCTACCTCCATTGAACAATACCATCATATAATAATATTCTTATCACGTCGGGCAGCTGACATGTTCAGTCCGATGTATGCATGCATACTTCCGATACTATTGTCTATCTATCAATGCTGTCAGCAGCAAGTAGACTGTCTTCCCCAACCTAAGAACCAACCAATCAACCCTCTAACCAAACATCATCTCGTACTACTACTACCTAGTACTCTTATTACCACCCATCGCCAAGACACAAACACGGCACAGCAGCAGCAGCAGCAGCAGCAGCAGTGAAAGCCACCCACCCAGCCCTATCAACCCACTAATTACTTACTATCTAGTGCCTACTACCATCCTCAGCTTACCCTGCAGGCCAAGAAAGAAGGAAGGTATTCCTTCCCGCTATGACAATGATGACATGACATTTTAGCCAT